GTAACGCTACGACTTTATTCTCGTTTTTTCTCGTACTCTGCCCTCCAAAATAAAACAGAAAACTAAAAAAAATTACCCTTTCTTAAAAGAAAAAATGAAAATGAAAAAATGAGCTAACTTTAGTTTTATAATAAAACATAAATAAGAAATAAACATTTTTGTTTTCATATTTATAAATAATATAAATTCATATAAAATCTTCCCAGAATGCACCGCCTGTATACAGGTAACTGTAACGGAGTGAATGTACTCAGTAACTGATCAGCTGTTTCCGGTAAACATCCGCTGATCAGTTTAATTGATTGATGTCGTCATGTGACCCGCTGACGTCAGAGTCATGTGCGCCGCGGACCGGAAGTTTGCTCAGATCCAACATGGCGGCGGTACGGGATCAGTGAAGGGTCGTGAAGTAAACATTGAGTTTTATTGAGCGGGAACGCGGCGACCGGTCCTCAGCGGGAAACGTTTAACGGTAACGAGTCAACATGGGAGCTGAGTAACCGGGAACAGCGCGTGTGACGGAGAGAAGGTCTGCACCGGCGGCGGGAAGAAGAAAGCAGCGTCTGCTCTGACTCATCCTCCTGCGAGGTAAACAACCGAGGTAAACAACCCCCCAGCAACAGCCTAGCGACCGCAGAGCGACCGGTAACCGGAGCCGAACCGACAGTGACTCCTCACTGTCCGTGTAAAACCGGACAGTTGTGTTAATGTTTGCTCTTAAAGACTAAAATAATGTGAATCTTTGTTAAAACTCCTCCGCAGCTTAAACAAACAGCCACACGCCGAACTACGTTCAGAAAACAGCTGATTTAGCGTAAAGTCTTCAACTCAAAGACACTAACATTAACATACAGTCATTAATGTGACCGCCAAACCAATGTCAGTGTAATAGTTTTAATTATATTACCTCTAACAAAGTGTTTCCTATTCATTATTCTATAAAATATTATATATATATATTTTTATATAAAGAAAGTGCTTTAGTTAAGACTTCAAACTAAACGCCGAATTAATCAGAAGAGCCTTTAAATGTCACATCTCCATAGTTTTAATATAAGTGTAGTTAGTTGTAAAGCAGGATAACGTTAATTAAATAAAACTGACAGAATCCTGAATGGAGTCTGGTTCTCTCTCTGCCGGCTGTTTAACACTTTTCGGTGCATTTTCTTTCTTCATTGTGTGTCGAGTTTATCAGACGGTTCCTTTAATGTATTAAATGATTTACTGACACACAACAGGTTCGTTGTTAAAAGATCAAACACACAAAACAAAAAACCAGAGGAAATCTGAATGGAGTTTGATTCATTGTTCTCTTTGTGCTATCTGACCTTATCTAACATATGTGCCGGATTTATCCAGAGACCCTTTAAAACGTTTTAATTCATTTATCAACCGTCAAACAGTTACGTTACGTTTGTTGCAGCCGGAATCGTAAAAATGTCAGAATTTTAAAAGGAGTCTGGCGCGTCGTGAATTTATTTTCGGTAAATTAGGTTTCTACCTTGTGTTTAATGCAATAAGTAAGTAAGTAATGCAACAGGTGCGTTGTACCGTCGGGTTGTGCACGTGTTTGTAGAAGAGCCGTGAAAAGGCACCAAATCATTTCTCAACCGTCAGAAAGTGAAACTGTTTATTTTAAAGCGAAGTTCGTTAAAATGTCAGAATTGTTAATGGAGTTCGCAATGGCGTTTTCCACCCGGGTTAGCTATAGTGGGGATCAATGAACACCTGATCGATGCCCAGAGCTCCCTGATCGATACCCAGAGCTCCCTGATCGATGAGGTGTGTTTGCCGCCGGGTCAAAGTTCAAGATAAGCTTATCACAGCAGCGCCAGTCTGACTTTCTCTGCAACATCCGAGCTAATAGAGTCAGACAGTAATACAATGATTCAATCTAATCAATAATGTAATACAATGATTCAATCTAATCAATAATGTAATGATTAAATGTCTCTGTGGAAAAGAAGATAATTGAAATGTGTTTTTAACCTTTGCTTTAACTTTTTAACAGATTATCTAATAACATTTATTTAGTTTATTGTTGATGTTTTCCACCTGAGCTGCAGTGATCAATATCGATTGTTTGGTCTATAAAACGTCATTAAATCAGTTTATTATCACAGGAAACTTTATATCTTAATATTTAAGTTATTTTTGCTTTAAGACAAATTAAATTATTACAAATATTAGAAATAAATGACCTTATTGAATAATTAGGGATTATTAATTTCTTTATATCTCCGACTTGACGACTCACCTAATCGTTCACTGTAAAACCAGATCAGTTAGTTTAATTTAAATAATTGTTGGAACTTATTACACACAGAATTTTAATATAACTGAGTTAGACTGAGGACTTTATTGATCAGGAAGCTTTAGTGATTTTAACTTTCAATGTAATCAGTTTAAATCATTTTAATATAACTTAAAATTGTACAGACAACAAACAAAGTACTGAACATTACGTATAACTCTTCTGGTTTCAGACTCAATAAAATCTCTTTCTGATGTTTGTTTGTTCACTCTGAAACGTTTACAGGTTGTTGTTGTTGTTGTTGTTGTTTACAGATAAAAGTTCTCTTTGTACGTACGACGAGTTGTTGAGGAGGACTGAGAGTACGTGTCTCCTTCCTCAATCTTTAAGAGTCAGTGTGGTGACAACGAGTCTATCGATCGATCGATCAATAACAGCTGATAACGTCCCGAGTGAGACAGGAAGTGTCCCATGAAAATAAAAGACACGTTTCCTCAAAGGAGCTTTTATTCTCAGAAAAAACCTGAAATATAAACGTGAACACGAGGAAGAGTTTTATTAAATATCTAAATATAGATCCACTGATGACTCAGCACTTTTTACACGAGCTGCTTCCCATCAGCGACACTGATCACATGACTGAAACCCTCTTCATCCTCAAGACTGATCACATGACTGAAACCCTCTTCATCCTCACACTGATCACATGACTGAAACCCTCTTCATCCTCACACTGATCACATGACTTGCAGTTTTCACTCAGGTCACCTCCTTCCACAGCTTCTTCCTTTCGCTGCCTCTTCCTCTTCTGGAAGCTCGGGAACGTCTGAGGCTCTTGCAGGAGCAACAGGAGCAACAGGAGGAGCAACAGCAGCAACAGGAGCAACAGGAGCAACAGAGAACAGCAGCAACAGGAGGGAGCAACAGCAGCCAACAGGAGCACACAGGAGGAGTCTGTTGCAACAGCAACTGCTCCTCCTGTTGCTCCTGTTGCTGCTGTGGCTCCTGTTGCTGCTGTTGCTCCTGTTGCTCCTCCTGTTGCTCCTTGTTGCTCCCTGTGCTTCTGGTTGCTGCTGTTGCTCCTGTTGCTCCTGTTGCTGCTGTTGCTCCTGTTGCTCCTGTTGCTCCCTGTTGCTCCTCCCCGATAGGCCGATTGATCCGGCTGTTTTCGTCGTCGGAGCTTGGTGGTGAAAACGTGGCACTGCGATCATTTACACAGATAATCAGACACGATTTCACAAAACACGCTGAGTTGAGACTCATTCAATTCAGTCAACCTCGGCTCTGATTGGGTTGTTGTTCCTTCGGGCCCGTGAACCAGGAGGAGCCAGGAGGAGCCAGGAGGAACCAGGAGGAACCAGGAGGAACCAGGAGGAACCAGGAGGAACCACAGGAAGCTGGTTGTTTCTACAGTATCTGTCAGGATTCAGAGAAAGTCTATATGACCAAAACCTATTTTTATAAAACACCAACTGCAGCTTTAATGTTCATTGAACTGTTGTCAGTGAGGGAACCTTTATTTTAATTGCTGTTTGTCCTTTTTTTAATCTGCAGTTTGAGCCTCTCTCTTGGTTTCGTCCTGTAACCCTACAGTCACACAAACACTCATTATTACAGAATCATTCTTTACACTACTACATTAGTGAGCTTATTAGAAAACCTAATAATGAGCATGGAGAGGATTTCCAAAATAAAACAAGGTAATAAGAACTAACAAGGAGTTAGAAATAAACAAATAGATAAAATAAAATAATGATGTTAGTGTTAAATCGTTCATGTTAATATGTTAATGCAGTTTTAATGACGACACTTTAAACACCTTCTGAACCCTCCAGCACCAACGTCTTTCCATATTATATATTATTATTGAGTCTTTGATTCAGGAACATAAACTGAGACGGTGGCCCTGAAGGACGGGTCGATGAAGTATGTAACGAATATAATTTCCCTCTGGGATTATTAAAGTATTTTCTGAATCTGAATCTGAATCTGAATCTGATGTGCGTCTGTTTGAGGGTAAATATTGGCGTCGTTACTCGGGAGGAACCAAGGAAGTTACGGGTCCGTGCCAATCCGTCCGTTGTCTCAGAAAACTGGAAGTTCCAGTTTACCTTGCAGCGGCTGTTTCACCTGTGTCACTTTAAAACACTCTGCAGTTAAACTTTTAAGCTTTATTTTAACCAGTTCAGAAAGCCAGAGACCTTGAGAGAATTGGACACACAGCTGACCTCTGTAAAAAATGAACTACCTACAGAGCAATCCATGGTGTGGCTCCGTCAGTAACCTTTAACCCCTCCCAGCCCGACTCAGGACCAGCTGATGTCTCCAGATGTTTTCAGCTCTTCGAAACAGACGAATAATTAAAGATGTCTGACTGACGGACTGATCTGTCTCCTCCGCAGCGGCCATGTCTCTGGCGAGCCCACGTCGGACTCCACGCCGTTCTTCTCCGATGACAGCGGGCGGAGGAGCAGGGCGGGGGGGCGGGGGGGCAGCGGCCGCAGGAGGAGCCGGCCAGCGGCGTGTCCAACGTCCGAGCGCTGCTGACCGTCTTCATCCTCTTCTACATCAACCTGCTCAACTACATGGACAGGTTCACCGTGGCAGGTACCGCCTCCCGCACACCGACCATCAATACACAGCAGACAATATATCATAACTATCATCTGTCATTTATTTAGAATAAAAAGTCATTTAGTTCCTGTAAAGACGTTTGAGTTGTTATAGACGGAGCAGTAGGAAAGATTATTGATTGATTATTGAAACCTTTATTCTTTATGAATGATCAATTCCATGCTGACATTAAGACACATTTTAAACTTCGACTAAAAGACTTTTTTCATTAAACTGAATTATTTAGAAATTGACCTTTCTTAAGTTTTTTTCTTTTATTTGTGTTATTTATCTATTTTATTATTGATTATTTATTGTTACAGAGACACATTCATGTTTTTAATTGGTTGAGAAGTGAAATGAATACGTGTGTTCACTCCACCAGGAGTTCTCACTGACATTGAGAATTATTTTGGGATTGATGATGGGAAGTCCGGCTTACTCCAAACAGGTAAGAAGATCAATTATCAATTAAAGTAAAGATCTTATATATATATATATATATATATATATTTATTATTATTTATCAGAAATAAAAGATTGTCAGATCCTCCTTTTACATTTCATTGTTCTTCTCCTCAAAGATCACATTAAAGTCAGAATGACTGCGACGTTGTTTGTTTGTTTGCTTCCAGTTTTTATCTGCAGTTACATGTTTCTGGCTCCGGTCTTCGGATACCTGGGCGACAGGTACAACAGGAAGCTCATCATGAGCGTCGGCATCACGTTCTGGTCTCTGGTGACGCTCGCCAGCTCCTACACGCCCAAAGAGGTGAGTCCCGTGTTTCCTGTTTCCTCCTTCAGTCCGTCACATTAACAGGATGCTGATCACTATAACAAATATAACCCCTCCCTCTCTTATTGCCCTGCAGCATTTCTGGGTCCTGCTGCTGACTCGGGGGCTGGTCGGAGTCGGAGAGGCCAGTTACTCCACCATCGCTCCCACCATCATCGCCGACCTGTACGTGAAGGGGAAGAGGACGAACATGCTGTCCGTGTTTTATTTTGCCATCCCTGTGGGCAGGTAGGCGGGTTGAAGCTCGTGTGTTTGTGAATGTGCAGCTGTTGTTATTAATATTAACCCTTCCTGTCTCTCCCCGTCAGCGGCCTCGGATACATCGTGGGCTCACAAGTCGGTAGTATGACTCAGGACTGGCACTGGGCTCTGCGGGTGAGTGTGACACACACAGGTCTGTCTGGGACTCGTGGGAGCTGGACCTGGACTCACCGTTCTCTCTCTCCCTCTCTCTCCTCAGGTGACCCCGGGGCTGGGACTGATCGCGGTGCTGCTGCTGATCTTCGTGGTCAAAGAGCCCAAAAGAGGAGCCATCGAGGCTCGACCGGAGCACCACCTGCACCAGACCAGCTGGCTGACGGACCTGCGCGCTCTGAGCAAGAAGTAGGTCCAACGTCGGTTCTGTCCGTAGTTAAAGTTCAGATCATTTAAGATATCAACCTTGAAGAGCTGAACCACTAACGGCCTCGTCCTGCGTCAGAAACCACAGAGCTGATAGAACGAGGAGGAGGAAACAGTGAATCTGTCAGAACAGAAGAATATTACGTTGATTGGTAACGAAAGAAGAATCGTATTAAAAGTTCCCCAAACAACTCTCTGGTTTTACACAAACTTCCTGCAGTTCCTGAGTTCACTGTTTGTTTGATCATCTTACTGAATATAATATGAGATGTACATCAGCTGCAGTCAGTGTGCTCAGTGGTTGAGGAGGTTCACTGAGGACGCAGTCTGTGCTTCTGTTGTGTTAACGCCATCGCTCACACACAGCAGGCGTCTGTTCTCAGCGTGACACCCATCAGAACAGTCCAGGTATGATCTGCAGAGCATCGATCAAATGAATGAACCAGAACGGCGTGTGAAACATGCTGCGGCGTCACCTCCAGCCTGCAGCGCCGTGCAGACATCGTGTTTCAGTCAGTCAGTTCTGAGTCACTATGGAAACGGAAACTGGTGCTTCAGTGACAGAAAGTCTCTTTAGTTTAACAGAAACAGCGCTGTTCCCCGCAGAGGTTCTCGTCATCGCCACGGTTCCCACACATCCTGGAGAACCTGCAAATGTTTTCTAGTCGTGGAAACACCTGGAATTTCATTAAAATTACAAAAAAAAAGGGTTCCCAGACAGCGTCCAGGTGGAGCTCCACCCTGAGGCTGCGTGTGATAACTGAAATGTCCGTTTCCTCTGCAGCTACAGCTTCGTGTTGTCCACGTTGGGCTTCACGGCGGTGGCGTTCGTCACCGGCTCTCTGGCTCTCTGGGCTCCAACGTTCCTGTTCCGAGCGGCCGTGTTCAGCGGGGAGAAAGAGCCCTGCGTGGAGGGAAACTGCGCCTCCTCAGAAAGGTAAGTCCCTTCGCCTTCGCCACAGACGACCCCCGGTGGAGATGAACAGATCTTTAAGGTTGCGTTTCTCCTCCCACAGTCTGCTGTTCGGGGTCATCACCTGCATCTCGGGCATTCTGGGCGTGACCAGCGGCGTGCAGGTCAGTCGGCAGCTGAGGAAGAAGACGGCCAGAGCCGACCCTCTGGTGTGCGCCGCCGGTCTGCTCCTCTCGGCGCCGTTCCTCTACCTGGCCATCGTGTTCGCTCAGACCAGCACCATCGCCACATATGTGAGTCCACAGCTCCTCTGCCCCCCGCGGGCTCCGCCCCCCGCTGGCTCCGCCCCCTCGCAGGTTAAATCTGTTCCAGTAGAAACGTCCTTCGCTCCTCTTCATTAACTGATCTCTGTCTGTCAGGTCTTCATTTTCCTCGGAGAGACGTTCCTGTCCATGAACTGGGCTGTGGTGGCGGACATCCTGCTGGTGAGACTCTTTGATTTAATTTACAGAACCAGGACCAGGACCAGGA